CATGCGTCACAACGCACTGCGACCCAGTCGCCCCATCTCTCTCAGAGAATGGCTCGTTGGCTGTTCTTCTTTGCCGAGTCTAAATTCGAGGTGAAGTATAAGCCGGGCAAGCAGAATGCTTTGGCTGAAGCGTTTTCACGCAGGCCCGAATATGAGCTTGCTCATGTTACGACTCTGTCATCATCGGTCACAGACCTCATTTGTTCGGCATATGCCAAGGATGAACACTGTGTAGCTTTGCTACGTGCTCTGGGGAGCGAGGAATTTAACGACTCAGACATTAAATTGTCGGCACGATTACGTGCGAGGCTACATCGATATTCCATCGATCAAGGCCTGTTGTGCTATAGCACGGATGTGGAGGATACTCCCCGTATCGTTGTCCCTCATGATGAGGAATTGAAGTATCGCATCCTCTATGAGGCGCATGATACTGCGGTGAGCGGTCATCTCGGTCGAGAAAAGACACATAGCGCCGTGAGCCAATATTATTGGTGGCCCAAACTTTACAAATGGGTAAGCACATATGTGCGTACGTGCGAAACGTGTCAACGGGTGAAACCCTCAGCTCAGGCGGCTGCGCCGCTCGCTAGTCTCCCTATACCCTCTGGGTGCTGGGAGTCCATCAGTATGGATTTCATGTTCGGTCTGCCGAAAGATGGGCAAGTCAATACGGGTATTGTGGTCTTTGTTGACCGTTTGAGCAAGATGGCTTATTTAGCGGCGGTGCCGGATACCATAGAATGTGAGGGTACAGCTACGCTGTTTATAGATCGCGTATTTCCACAACACGGTTTGCCGTTGGCAATTGTCTCTGATAGAGATCCTCGCTTCACTGGGAAAGTTTTGGAAAATCATCTTCAAGTTGCTCGGCACACGTTTGGACACGTCCAAAGCGGATAATCCGCAGACAGATGGTCAAACCGAGCGAGTCAACCGCGTTATCGGTGACATCTTGCGCAGTGTTTGCGCTAAAACACCAAAACGTTGGAGTTCGGTGCTCCCTGTTGTTGAGTTTAGCGTTGAACAACGCTGTTCATGCCTCTACAGGCTTTACTCCGTTCTATGTGAACGGTCTCACACACCCTCGCGTTCCGTTAACGCTACCACTGCGTGGTTCAGGGCTTGGTGGGGGAGAGATGGCCGATCGGCTTGCACATATCAGCCCTGCTACTGTTCAAAAACAGGTAAGCGAGTTTCTCGCAACGCGATTAGATGTCTTCGACACGTGCGTGATGCACTGGCTGATATCCAGGATAGACAAAAGGATCAAGCTGATGTTGAAGGCAGATGATGTATTGAACGTTATAAGGTCGGAGACCAAGTTATACTCAATGCTAAAAACCTACCTACAAATGTAGTCTCTGCTGTCTTCAAGACAAACTTGCGTCCGCGCTTCATTGGGCCGTTCACGGTCATCGCTAAGAAGGGATTTGCATACACGCTCAACCTTCCGCGCAAACTGCGCACGCACCCAGTGTTCTACGTTGGCTTGCTTAAGCCGTATCGGGACCCGTCCCATGTGAACTCGGAGGCGCTTGCGCCTGGAAATAAGGCCTTGACGTCGACTGTTGCATCCGAACCAGGAGGTCAAGCTGACCATCCACACGGGATAAGGCCAACTCCAACGCCTGAAGACGGGCTTGCATCGCGCCTAGTTCATTCTGGGTCTTACCCAATGTCTCTCGGAGACCACTTGGCTCACGGAGCACCTTCTCATGCTTCTCCTTCGGTACCCCGACCGCCACCGACGCTGCTCGATGAGCAAGGGAACCACCAGTTCCATGTGGAGCAACTCCTTCAGCGACGTCGTCGTCGTGGCCAATACCAGTATCCTGTAAAGTAGCGAGGGTACCCGGAGTCGGAGAACTCGTGGGAGTATGAGATACCCCTTCGGCAGGATTGCCCTTACGCCGTGGATGTTTTTGAACATCGTGGCCAGGGTCGCCTTGCGAGAGAGAACGCTTCTCACCAATAGTGGTGGGATGTGGCGTGTTGCTCCGCACCTAAGGTTCGTGACCCGTGGCTTCCATTGTAGCCGGAGCATCGCGTGTGCGATTTGGCAACTGGCCTCTGGCCTTAAGCTTGGCGTAATCATACCGAAGCTTTCGTTCTGGACGAACATCTGCCACATCGGCACTTGCTCTGAGAGCTAACACGCTGCTGAGGTGTCGCTTCCAATGCACCCAGCAAAAAAAGCGTAGTCTTATTCCTCCTGAGATTGCCTGAGAATAGGAGGATGGGTAAACCCTTCATCGGTGGAACCGGTGCACCCAGTGCTTGCGCGTCAAGTCGCAACTTGTATTGACTTTGAGTCGTCAAGTGACGTTGCAGGTACCTCTCGCGAAGTACCTGTCAACTCGCCACCTCATCAGGAGATGTTGGCCCAGCGCCAATAGCCCATGTTTCCAAACAACGACCTGTTGTTTGGAGTATACGCTCTTCCACATCGAGTGGGGTGAACAGATATCCAGGACGACCTTCAAGGGTTGCAGCAAGCTGCATACGGCGCTGAGCGCTCTCCTCTCGTTGGATAGCCAACTGTTGTTGCACATCGAGCGGATTGGTGATAATGTCATTGCCCACGATAAGTGTTTGATGCGGCGCCGATGGCACGTTGGCTTCGCCACGCTCAAGAGTGAGGGGGGGAGATCCCCCCCCTCGGCAAATCGGTATCGCTGCCATAGTCCACCTCTTCGTCATCGCCGAGGTAGGAAGAAAGTCGAGACTGCATGGGGTGGCGAAACCATGGTGCTTCGTGTTTTGAAAACCGTGCAGGTTGAAGCGCACACACGCCGTCCTCTTCGACGAAAGAATTCGATTGACGTTTGGTGGAAACGTCAGTCTGGTGGGGGAAGGTGTAACGGGGTTACACGTCGGCTGGTAGTCGACGATAGGTGTGGTGCACACAAGAGAGGGGGTTACCCTATAAAGTAATTTTAGAACACAGTGAGTGTATCAATTGTTGAAGACTGATGTCTGTCATCAATTGATTGCGAGATCTTTTAAGAGGTTATTTAGGGCAGGTTAAATACGTTGTTCTAAGGTGTTCTTTTAGGTTAATCAAAGAAATAAAATTCAGTTCCCCTTTTGATCAGTAAGAGACACGTGCCTTACGAGGCGTCTTTGATCGATAGGAGCTAGCAATACCTGTGAAGGTAGCTACTCCTGAGCACTCTGTGCTGTGATTCTTTTGAATCGTTTGGTCCCTTAGGAACGGGGACCGTAAGCTCTCTGAGCTTGGTGACTCTCTGAGTCGGGTTCGTAGAACCAAAGTTGCTCGTAAGAGCGTTAAGTCTTCCTCTGACTTAAGGAGCTGTGTAGCTCCGCTACATTAAGTCTTCCTCTGACTTAAGGAGCTGTGTAGCTCCGCTACATAAGGTAAGTCCCTGCGTGGTCTAGATTATGCCTGCCGTCGAATCTCGAGAGGTATAGCTTGTGGATGTATCGACTGGTAGCGCCAAGAGTCAAGGAAGGCCCGGGTTGGGCAGCGCTCGCTACTAGCGAAAGATGGACTCTCGTCGTCGACGAGCCGGTAAATATCCGTGACAGGGACCGTTGTGAGGATCGTCAACGACGAGCCAGAGAGCCTTAGGAGAAGGCCCCGTCTCTAAAGACTTGATTGAGTGACAAGCCGGTGGGCCTCAGCCGAGGGCACCGTAATTCTTCAAGACGGACGTAAACCGCGTTCGGTGGCCTGTAAAAGCGCGTGAGCGTCGGCTTCCACCCATTGGTGCGAAGTCACAGGGAGTGAAAGGGTTAGAAGCTGCTGAGCTCAGGCAGACTTCCGGAGGAATTGATTGTAAGAATTCAGTAGGGCGAGAGCCGCAACTGAACCCCGAAGGGGCGAACTGCGCGGGGGGCTTACCCTCACGTACCATCCCGTGCGCCGACTAAGCTCGGCGACTGTTGTGTTTGTGCGTTGAGGCTGTTGTATGACAGATTTGACTAACCACTATACCACATGTCTTTATGTAAAATTTAAACGTCCAGGATATGCAAAAATCCATGTGACCACCTGCAGTATTACCACAACTTTTGCATCAGCTCTACATAATCTTGCCTCGATTCATGTTGCGTGGTTTACGTCATTTCATTCTGCTGCGGTTCGCACCTTATTCATCCTATAGAATATTGTGTACAAGCTAATTACACACGGCGCTGTCTCATCTTATTCAATCAGCACAATTTGGCCGAGAAGACCACTACAAAAAATTCGAAGGTCAGACGATAAAAGCTGGATGAAAAAGTTAGAAGGAATGTGGCCTTACACTAGAACGATGTACAATACTCAGGCCACGTTTGAGGCGTTATCGCACCTTATACTTTGTGCAACACGACTATTGGCAGTTAAGGTGCATAGGTTTTAAGCTGATAATGTACGGAAGGGCCTAAAGCAGATTTACGCGGATGAATGTGACCGATCGCAGGTATGTGTATTCGGTTATCTCGTATACATCAGGAGTGCGCTTTAATATTAAGATTATTCAGTACATTTGTACATTTCAGTATCATACAATACTTTTCGTTATTCTCGGTGACATGACGCAGTTATAATTAACAAATCGATCATTACCCTTTCTTGATTTTGATGTCATCTGGTGCATTTTTCATTTTCCCGTGTAAGATCCTATCGTTTTAATGATCACCTCAGTCAGTTGCACGAATGCATCTGTTATACCATTGACTTTTTCATGCTAATCAAGGAACTGCGGTTATGATAGTAATCTTGGGTCCATAAATGGTCCGCACCCCTCGAGCAATAGGCTGAAGAAGATCGCTTGACGTCCACGGCGAACTGACAGTCCTGAAATTAGAGTGTCTAAAACTCACACAAAAACACTGTCGTCAAATCGCGCTCGAGAGCGTTCGCTCGTGTGGTGCACACTGCTCTCCAGTCAGGAACAGCTACGAAGAGCTCCTCGACCACGTGCGCACGTCCTCTACCGCGTCGACATGTGAGCGCATCTGGTCATCCCCACACTGTCCTCCCACTCGATATGCCGTCTCCCACGCCACCTCCAATCGACGTCGGATCTCTGTCCTGCGTCGCGCTGCCGCGTCTCCTGCCGCTCTTTCTCGGCGTGTCGTGCGGCGCTGCCATCGCGCTGGCCGTCGCTCTCACCGGTGTCCGCTCGTCTACACTCGTGCAATGGCTGCTGCGAGTTCCCGGCGATCTGCTGCTTCAGGCGCTGGTAGCAGTCACGTTGCCGCTCGTGGCTCTGCACGCGACGCGCACGGGATCGCAGCTCCAGACGCGGCAGCTGCCGATTCCATGGCCGCAACTTGCACTGGCGACGCTCGCAGCGTCAATGATGGCCGCGCTGGTGGCCAGTACTGTAGGCGCTCTCGTGGCTGCAGCGCTGCATGGCGTTCTTCCGCGAAGCGTGGCCCTGGCGCAGGTGTGGGGACTGCCACTGCCCAGTGCTGCAGTGGCGTTCAGGTGTCCCGGAGATGTGTCCAGTGGATCAGTGACATTGCAGAGCAACGGATCGCTCGTGTGCTCTGCCAACGCCACGGCTTTCATGCTCGACGACGTGGCACATACGTTTGTGGCTGGCGCAATGATGCAGAAGGCGTGGAGTGTGTCGGAGCAGGTGGTCACGATGGTGGAAAGCGCTTTTCCAGAGAGTGTAGCAGGCGCTTTCGTCGACGGAGATGTGCTGAGTATCATGGTGGGAAGTCTCGCGCTTGGTGCAGCGTTGGCTTGTTGTTCAATTTGGTCGGAGAAACGACACGCAAGTGATCAGAACGATGGATGTCTTCGCGTGGATGAAGAGTTTGAGCTGAAGGAAGAATTGATGATGTTGCAGCTCGTGAAACAAGCCGAAGCAGCAGGATGTCGCGTGCTAAGTTGGCTACTGACGCATCTTTCTATCAGCGTGGTTTTCATGGTCAGCAGTGTGCTGCTCCGACCGTCAGTGTCTGTGCCTATAGTATACAGCGAAGAAGGTTTTACTGCTTTGGCGCTCGTGACGGTGCTGCTTCTTGCTTTGATGTTGGATGTGGTCGTCATGATATCCTTGGCTACACTGTTCACTCTGTCCAACCCGTTCGCATTCCTCGAGCACCTTTTGCCCGCACAACTGCTAGCTTTGAGCTCTGGGTCATCTGTCGTCGCGCTGCCGACGACTGTTTCGGCTGTTGTAGCCAGCAAGCGTGTTTCACCTCCAGTGGCGTTCATTGTGTGCTGTACGAGCACAGTGCTCGGTCAGACTGGCACTGCTCTCTACCTATCTCTTAGCACGCTTTTTGTGCTGTCGGCTTCTGCTCCGGGCATGAGCGAGGACGAACAGAGTGCGTTACGGTCGACAAGCACAATCTGCGTGATGGTTTTGGTGAATGTGATTGGCGCGAGCGTGACTTCGCCGCTACCGGGTAACGACAAGACGGCGGCGCTCGCAACAGCTTTTGGCGTTGTGTTTGGGGTCCCGACCGGATCAAGAGCTGTTTTGCTGTCGTACTTGGCTGCGATGGAATGGATTATCTCTCCCTTCGTAGCATGTGTGAATGTCACGAACAACGCACTGATTGCGCTGATGATTGCCCATTCTTTAGAAGCCCGATCGGGGGCAACTACAGAAGCGAGTAATGATGATACCAACAGTGCTGCCATGCACCAGTGGCTACCACTAGACCACCGCCAGCAAGGAGTGGTTGAAACGAGGCGAAGTGAGAACTGAATATGCTGAACGAGCTGTTTGAGTCATGGCGTGTTTGTGTCGTGACATTGGGACGATAGTGTTGTGTGTGTGGATGGCGCAAACCAACATGTGATGGAGGTTTTGATGCAGAGACCTTGTTAGTACCGGCCGTCTTCATTCGGCCGATCGATGTCAGCTGAACGTCATTGCTACGGACGCCAATTTGTGCGGTCGACCGCCCACATAATGTGCCTGCAATCTGTTGACCTTATGGTCGAAGCATGTTGACGTATGCTACGGCAGTGTCACAACCGGCTGCAGCAACCAATATCAGCTGAGTGAATAAGCTGCAATCAAGAGATTGCATTAAATAGCCAGGTGAACGACCTTGCAAGTTTACTTTTTGATGAGACCATCAATACCGCGTGGCTGTTGTTTAGTGACGACGACAAAGCTCTACCCGCTACAGATAAGTGTCGATGGAGTGTCAGCAGGAGCTGCTTGGCAAGCGCCGAGCATCTCTGGCTGACGGTCGTTGCCACTTTGATCGGATTGTCGTCGGACGGATCCGAGCAGATGAAAAGCAGCAAGGCCGTGTGTGCGTGGAAAAAGAAGGGCCGTATGTACGGTCAATTGAGACGTGTTGAGGCCAAAGTGCTGCTGAAAGGTTGCGAAAGTGCTGCTAAAGTGCTGCTTATCTTCGCGAGTAATTCGGGTCGGATTTGCAAGCCACGGGCCGGGTTTGTCAGATTGCCAAATTTAAACGGTTGTTGGCAATACACGCCTTGGTCTATGTGATAGGCCAGAGTGTCGGTGCTTGTGGTATGGACGGCGCGTGACAGCAGTGTCGTTTGATACAATGTAGACCTTTGGTCAGTCGAGATGGTTTGGTCAGCAGCCTTGGCGGTACATCCTAGTTCATTGTACGTTGTCCTTGCGATCAGTTTGTGTGTGGACGCTCGAGTGCTGCTCCGCCATCATGGACGGTCAGCTGCAATTTTTTCTTGGATACTGTAGTGACCCGCAACTTCGCTTTTTCAGTCTAGCCGTACTCTCAACGCTCGTTTGGCTTCCACTTCGATGATTGATTTAACGATACTGCAAGTGTCTTTGCATCGGCACTGATCTGGTATCACTTCGTTCGGTGTGGTGTCGAGAGTGACTGTCTTGACAGTATACGACCTCGCAAGTGGGGAGGTGAAATGCAAAGTTGGGCCCATCCGGCGAGTGCAGTCGTGCTGGAGTGTGGGTTTGTCTCGCTTGGTGCCCTGCACATGACTTGGACCGCTGTTGACACGACTCATTGCTCCATGACTGCATCATGTGTAGCAGAGTTTGGGAGGGGGCGATAAGCATCTCGCCGTACGTCCACATACCGTTGTCGTCCTGTCGTGTCATCCCCTGCTTTTCTGGACTCTGTGTTCGTATGCGTCTGTGCGGCGTGACCTTTAAGTTCACGTGGCGACTGTGTTTGACATGGCATCTACCGGAGGCGTATTGACATGTGTCGTACATGATGACCCAATTGGCCGTTTGTCCGATCATTAACGACTTTGCAGTGATTTGTTGCAGCGTCAAGTCTCGGACGCGCATGAACAGAGCCAAGAAACACTGCTGTCTCGTCGGCCTTGCCGCTCATGCAATTGCAACAGTGGTTGACACACCTCATGAGTTTGTGGCTCGACACTTGGGTTCACACCTGCCACTTGGCGCACACTTTGGATCGGCTGAGTGAGTTATTAGATCTGTATGCATGTGGCACCCACTAGAGGTAGGAGGAAGATGTACACCAATTCAGCAACAAGAGTTGTTGGGGGTGCCTCTGACCCGATCGATTTGGTGCCAAGCACCTCGACGAGACGACTGCGATAGATGAACGGGATTAAGCGCAATGTCAATAGCAGCCAGGCGGGACACGAGTTGAATCGCGTACTTGCCATTTTTTCCTTCACGAGATCGACGTTCGTCTCTTGCGCGTTTCATAGCTGTTTCTGCAGTTCTACAGATCGAAGTCGTCGCAGCTGGTTAGCGATCGCTACAAAATAGATTACCAGTGCCGCGATCACTGAGAACGCGACGAGAGGTTGCGTAAGAATCACATCGTCTGTCGTGGACATCGTCAAGGCAAACGTGTTGTTGATCACATGCAACACGAAGCAAACGACGACGGAGCCAGAGACTGCAAGTTCGAGCGCCAGAAAGAGCCCTACGAGAGATGCCCAAAGCACCTGAAACGCCACGTAAGATGCCGAGTATTGTGCTCCGACGTGTCTCGCATTGGCTAGATGGACGGCAGCAAACAAAGCAGCAGAGATCACAGCACTCCACTTGGCACTTTGCAGCCGATTTATGGTCACCAGCACCACCGCTCCTCGAAAAAAGAGCTCCTCCTTCATCGGTGCAAGCAGCAGCTTCTGTATGATCGCTGTCGCGGCAAACGATCCGTCTGGTCGATACAGTGCTGTTGTGACATTGGTCCACGACACTAAGGCCGGTGACGTCGTCTGTTGCTGCAGCAGCACGAGCACCACTGTAGTCACAAAGTGCAGGGTCAGTGATACACAACAGGTCCTGTAGCCGCCCCATCCGAACCCCGTGAGTCTTCGCGCAAGGTCGCGCTTGGACCGTCGAACGAAACAGCTCATGAAAGCCCCAAGACCCCAGGCATACGCTACAGTCTCGCAGATTTGCTGGATGAAAGTGTTCTCTAACAATACATCCTTTGTAGTTGCAGCGAGTGACACGTGTAAGAGGCTGCGCACTACCACTCCGATCACGGAGCTGGTAAGTAGCAGCATAAAGGCGCCACCGGTGACTACTGTCAGCTCCGATACCAGGACAATGCATCGGATCACGACTGGAAGATCAGTCGGTGTCAAAGTCTGCTTGGGGACAACTCCATCCGAGTCGAGTGCCTGAAGCGTCAAGACGCCGTTGGTTTTCGCATAGAGCCATCTCCAGTCAACTACTGCGTTCATTTTCCTTCACTCACCAATTGACTTTTTCTCTGCAAGTTCGTTCGAACTGCGGAGCCGCGGATGGAGTATAAACGGTCGGAGCAAAAAGCCTGTCTTGCTCAGTATGTCGTCCCGACAGCTTATGTAACTGGGTTCTGCCCATATGGTAGTGTTCTAGCTGTACCAGCAGCGTATCCAGCTACCATCGTCATTGCGTCATTAATGTGCCACAAGCGCTCGCATCCCATTTGATGACCGTGCCTGAAACAGCTAGGGACTGACTGCGTACCACGACCAGCGGATTGAGTTCCTGCCTTGCAGAGCCTCTTGGCTTTGTCTGACTTTGCTGTACCGGACGAGACTTACTGAACTTGAGACGTAGTACTGCTCCTCGCCCCGGTCGAGTCTCCTGGTGGCAGCGATCCAACAAACAGCGTACTAGACTCTGCGTTAACAATGAGCACTGCATTACTTTTGCTTTACTTGTTAACACAAGTGTAACGGGGATGCCGCTGAGTATTGCAACAAGGTGGTTGGTTGTCTGTAAGTTGAATAAATAGATAACGCGTAGACAAATGAGTGCGAATACAGGGCAAGTGCCGACGTGGTCAGCTACTGCGCTGTATCTTGATCTGACTAGCGGCACTGCGCTGCCAACACGTCCGTCGTGTAGCTGTCGCACGCTGCAATGACTGCAAAATACATGTCGCCGCAGGAGCTCAATGACTCCGATGAAACAGATTCAGGGATACCGCAATGTGCTGCCAAATCCTGCGGGCACCCTACTCCTGACGTTTGCTATGTGTACACGCGCACCAGCTGAAACCGTCTCGCGCTCTGGACCATTCACGCTTCCTTATGGCTCTCGTCAAGCCTTGGCATTCACTTTCGCCCACTTCATTCCCCTCTCTTTCCACGGTGTAATGAGAAACGGTGGACTCCTTTTGCTTCGTTCTGTCCCGCTGTACCAAGACTTCTTTCGGTAGACAGCGACGAAGACGTGATGGGCGAGAAATGGTGCTTTTTCGTGCGTACGGAGGGCTACCCCAATGTCTGTCTCATAATCTTCTCTTCTTCGTTTGCAAACGTCACGCGTCGCTTTTCTTCTTCCACGCTTTGTACAAGAAGCCCACGATCAAGATGTACGTTTCGCTTGCACAGCATCCGCAATGTTGCGTCTCATTCGTCCAGTTAACGCCGCGAAGTGAGTCATGCCCGGCCTCTAAGCGATCTTATTACAGGATCCAGTCCGCTCCTTCTTGACGATCGGAACCTACGCCAGCTCGGAGACCAAGGCTCCCGAGTTCGCCAGTATGCTCCCGAGCGAGTGGTTCGGACGGCGTCTGACCATCGCGGGCACGCACGAAGTTGTTGTCACTCTATCGAGCCGTCTCGCTGTGACACGGCGCTTTTTCCATTGTTTTGACGGTCGAGAGCTCCGCGCTGGATTCGCACGTGCTTGTATCTCACGAATCTCCACTTCAAAGTGTCCGTTGGACTCGTGTCATGCGGCACATGTTAGTAGAAGGCTGACGTTTGGATCAACAGGACGTGTGGTTAGCACGTGGTCAATGTATCCGCTTGTGTGCTACTTTCACGTGCTCCACCGCAAAAAGAGGGATACACGTAGCTGCAGCTTACGTCCGGCAAACAAAGAACAGGCACAGTTTTGATGAGCTCGGATGACAGGGTCAATGTCGTTGCTATCATCCATGAAGCATTACATGTAGTAATCGCAGTAGCGTCAACAGTTCTAGCTTCAGCCAGTCCGTCGTTTGCTTGTAAAACGTCAAGAAAAGTGCGCGCAACTCCCGGTGAGACATTTATAGACAGTCTATTTAACTGTTTAAGGTTGCAAGATGTCTGTAAAGGTTCTAAGCCCGGATGGCAACGCCGGTGCTCATACGAGTCCGGTGGATGTACGGGGCGTGTCACTTAAAGTGACGCTCTCGGTGTGTCTGACGAGGCAGCTGTAGCGAGGGGACACACATTTATCGTTCTTCATCTGTCGCGGCCGCTCGGGCGACCGGATGTTCAAATTATGTGCAATTGCCGAAGCTAAGGCATGTATCGTAGGGAAACCTTGATGACCGCTTGCGCGGCCTCCCGACGTGGAGTGCGATCACCGAAGTGAATGCGTGGCGTAAGAACGCCAACCCGCCGTATATCTCTCCGAGGAGCTCACCAATCTGCGATGGTGGCCCCCTTCAGCCGCTAGCGTGGCCCCTCGACGTAGAGTGTGCGCTGGCCGCAGCGTCGACACGTGGCGCGGGGTACGTCTCCAGTCCGTAAAACACCCCTGCTAGGCCGCTTGCGCGACCCACGCAACTCCCGGTGAACGCACAGCTGCTGCAGGAAGAGCTCGTCAACATCGCTGCCGTCAGCGAATGGTATCTCCGCTTCGCCGCTCTATAACGCCATCTGGACCCTGAATCCCCATCCACGCTGCTTGTCTCGAGAAAGCTACATTTTCCACACGACCTCGTTCGACGTTGCGGTCGCAGGATTTTGACACCTGCTCGGATCTCGAGAAACTCAGAGCGTTTAATCACAACTATGTGCCATGAGCGCTTGTAAAATAACAAGCAAACGATCCGAATTGAACAACGATTCTTGAGTGAATGTTGACCTTCCCACAAGCAGGTTGCGGCCAAGAAAAGCATGCGACTTTGCGATAGGGGTTTCCTGGTATCAAAGCGATGTCGTGTGGTACAAAGCAGTGCACGTTATAGCTGTCGTCGATCCAGAGTCATCTGGTTGGGAAAAGTCGATTGACTATCATGGAAAGCATTTGCAATGTAGTGCAACACATCATCGTCGATTGCATCCCGCCGTCAACTAGGGTTACTTTCCATCGATCTCGTGGCGATTAGAACAGATAAGGACAGCAAATTTTGGACGTGGACAGATGTATCTCGGGAATGACGCTGTCGTGGCGATTTTGTAGAGCTTTGGGCTGTGAGAAGCTTGGGTCCGTTCGACTGTCATCATTGTGCTGCCTTATTTGTGGTCGGCGGTACGAAAGCAACTTTCTGGCAGCGCTGAAAGGCCGGGAGCATTTACAACACTCGACGAGGTATCCTCCAAGTATTTAGCGAGCACGAGTTATTTTTAGTGAGTTGATGCTAATTTGCGATTATGTGTATATCAACATGAGCCTGCCTGCTCTTCGTTCTCATATCTACGGGTAGCTTCCCTAGACAAAAGCAATTGTCGTCGTCGAACTCGTTTCTATTATATGCAGACTAATGTTCGTCTTCATCTTACACTTCAGTGAGAGGTACACGAGTCCATTCATCAAATGCGAACTACTTATGGTGTCCATTCTTTTGGCTATTCCATTCAATCAGCAGCCCGCAAGTGGCTGTGTGAGACAAGACCTCCAGACCTATCCACTGTGTCGATCAGCAACTCTCTATCCCTACCTGTGTAAATGCGGGGAGGTCTCACGTGATATAAGCCGTCGTCGTCGTGGTAGCCACAGAAAGCCAGTTCCAACGCACAATGCCCTAAACCTGAGTATGCCCTGCTGGGAATGTACGCATGCGACCTCAACGAGCTTTTCATTTGGATAGTCTGTACGAAGCTCGTTCCGTCCACTTACATATTGTTTGTTTCTGCGTGTGCGTGCGCTCGATCTTTGAGCGTTGCTGTCACAACTTCCATTCCGCAATTTGCCACCAAGTCCAAAAGTCTCACCGAACCCGACAACAAGCTGCAATGCGCGTCACAATCAGCCTCCTCCTTTCCATCGCTGCCGTCGCTTCCACTCCTGTCTCCGGTCGAACACGCGCAACTGCACCGGATATATGCAGCTCTGATACTGCTTGTCAAGGCAAATCCTTCAGCTCCATTAAACTCGCTGAATTTAGCGACCAATTTATTGACAGTGAGGATGAAGACTGTTTTGCCATAGCTACTGCGAAGCAAAGAGCTGCGATTCTGTTCGTGGAGCCGGGTGCCCGGTGAACTATGATGATGTTATTGTTTTAATTTCCAGCCTCTGCGGGGATGAAGACAGATCGTATGGGTTCAAGTTTGATAAGTGCTGCACAGAGATTTACTCCGCTAAATAACCTTGCCTCTGCACCAGTCCTTTTAAATCGATTTCTTGAATGCCCGTTTTCAAGATATGCGGACTAGGCTCATCAGAGGTACTTTGGAAACTGCGCGAGCGCGGGAGCAGATAGATGACAGCAGTGAAACTAGTAGCAGTTGTAATGTTTGAAAAACGGCATAATTGCTTGAAATTGACTTTGTGACATTGTTAAACTTTGTGTCTTTTCGTATCAACGTATGACTTTGTTCTCTCTGACAAGCGAGTGAGTCCAATGTTATACTAATCCTATTTGTAAACACTCCGCGCCAGGTAAAATCGTGCACCAACAAATCAAAATATATACCTTAGTCAGGTGTGCGAATTTCAGGATGCCGTTTAGACATGCGATGTCTTTGAATTGATAGAAACACCATAGTATGTCAACGATTGCGATTTCGCAAAGCGTAGGGCCTCACATACTTGCAGCTGGTTTGGCCACTACGACATATAAAATCGTACATATTAGCACACATTTATTGGGATTATTCAATTATACGGTTGGTTCATTGGACATATATCAGCGACTTGAGCCACTCGTAACACGATATCAGCGACAAATATTAACGGAAATAGCAACAAGAAGCCAAGACTTGCAGCCACGAGCGGGTAGTGACAGTATGGTATCAGGAGGCTCGTCTGAGCATGCGCGCTGATATAATATTTACCGTACGTAGCATCGTTACTATACGTCGAGTGGCCTCCTCTGTCTCGCCGCTACAGACTAATTGTAACGGGGCACACTCTTGTTCCTGTGCCTGATCGATACAAGAAGTGTGCACCAGACGATAAGTACACGTGGCGTGAGGAAGCGCAGCAAAATAAACAGAACCCAACAGCTCTGTATGAGGAAAAAGTAAAACTGTCATTAATATAGTTATGTGTCCTTCTAAGTCATCTTTCTCTTAATCTAACTATATAAAAC